CAAGAAAACTAACAAAATGGTTATTGGATTTAAAAGGTATTCTCTGTAAGTAAATATCACTTTTAAATACTTCAGCTATTATGTTTGTGTTTGCATTACTGTAGGGATTTAAATGGTACCATTTGCATATTTTATCCAATTCTCTAATGTTCACTTAGTGAGTTAAAATTAAGATAAGTTGTGTAAATGAAACAGCTTGCTGGCTGTGGATAAGGTCATTTAAAGTGCTGTACCTGGACTGAAAGCAATGCACTTGGGAAGACACATACACAGTATGCTTAGTTTGTGAAAGTAGCATGCTTAATTGCACAAAAGTTTTAGTTTGAAATCGAAACAGAAATAGAAAGATAGAAAACACAGAAATACGGTTAAGACTGACATCTTTGCCTTGGAAGAGGAAAGCTAGGAATGTATGTTGTCATATCAGGTGTGGGGGATGTGCATACAAATAATTTTTACTATATAGAAGATACACTATATATTCTCTCAATATTTGTATTTATGTGCTTCAAACACATCCCAGATGTTTTGAGATTTTAATGACATGGAGTTCTCTTCCCCCTTCTCTCCATGTTACATACATAACTTTTTCTTCTGACAGAATGAAGTACCTTTCCTTGTTGTCCTTAAGGGAGGTCTAGCCAGCCCCAGCCCAGGGATTGTAGGCAAAGCCTGGCCTGTGGTGTTCACATGGTCCTCTCTCATAGTTTGCATGGAAATCTCTGTTCTTTCACCTTCAAGTTTCTCCTTTGAAGTTTTGGCAGTGATTGATTTTTGGTCTCCTAAGTTAATGTTTTATTTTTAAATACTCACCTAGCCTGCATTTTTTGATACCAAGCATTTTCCACAGGTCTAATCTTCTTGACTGTAATTTTCATGGATCTTAAGGGGGACCATTGCTGGCCATCCCTCTAAAACAACCTGGAGGCACATGACCAATTAGTACCCTCAAATCTACTTAACTTGACAGCCTTTTCTCTTTGCAAAATGCTTTGCTGCTTTGCTTTATTAGTCCACCTTTGGCTCATTGATCACCAAGCAACTGCTGAGTTTTCTTTTTCTGTATGTGAGTTAAGATAAATTTGTTGTATATTGGTGCCACATTTTTCAGCTTTTCTGCCTTCCTTACACATGTAGAATAACGTGTCATCATGTTTAAGAGCTGTTAAGAAACTCTACTACAACTCCTTTGATCTGTGTTAGGCTGTCATGAGTACCCATGGTTACTTTCTTGTGCTAATAGTCCCCAAACAGGGGATTTTGAACTTCTGTGTGGATTTTCTGTGATTAGAAATGGGAATAATCTTAAAAGCTGCATGGAAGCTTAAAATGAGATATTTACGTAATGCTATTCTTCTTATGGTTCAGCAGGTCAGCCTGTTCTACAGCAACCTCTTCATTTGTGTAAACCCTGAGTACAGTACAGGGTTTACAGTACAAAGGGACTGCAGGGATAGATTGCAGGTAGATGGAAGTATTGGTAAGAAGAAGAAAAGTTACGAAGCATGCAGATATAAAAGATAACAATTTGTAGTAGCCATTACCCTGTAAACTCTTTCCCTGCCTCCTTCCTTCCCTCCTCACAGATTTTCTTAGTGAACTGGAGGGCAGCACAACTTTCTGAATGCACTGTAAGAGATTACTTTTCTTCCCCATCCCATTGGGAAGGCTGAATGAGGAGCTGAGTGAGGTGTAGCTGCTGTGGGGTATGGTTTAACAAGGTTAAATCACAACAAATTGTGAGTTACAAACGGTGTTGTGTTGTAGATGATAATACAGAACTAATATATTTCTTCAATCATTTGGCCTAATAATGCTTTTCACAGGGTTATTCTCCCTCACATTTAAGAGTTTGTGTAGCTTTTTGTAATCAAATGAGTACTCCTCTGTGTAAACACATAGGAGAAATGTAGAGAAATTAGATTCTAAACTAACAGGTTGCTCTAAAGTAAGCAAAATGCATCTTTGCAGCAATGAGACTTCAGACATGGTTCTTTTGCAAGACAGTTTTGGTTATCAGAGTATTTTGGTAATTAGCACAAAGTGCCTGGTCTTGAGCCAGGCTCTGCCCCTGGCTGCACACTGAGCTGCCTATTGCTTGTATGCAGGCCTGCGAGTGCAGCAGTGTATGCACATGTACGTCACATGGATATGATGTGCATGATGATAGGGTAGCCAATACCTTTTTTCCCTGATGTGTCACACTGTTCGAGAGAAATGACACAACATATATCAGTCCTTTAATATCACTTTAAAATCTCAGGAATGCCCTGACAGGGGAAGGCAACACCACACAATCTGAGAGTGGTTACTGCCCTTGTGACAAGGAATGGCAGCCAGCTGCCTGTCCACTTTTTTATGGCACTAGCAGGGAAAGAGAGAGGCATTGCTTTCTGCTTTCTATTTCTCCTCTGGGCAGGGAGGCAGGCTCTCCACAGTACTGTAGGGGAAGGTCACAGTGTTAATAAAGATTTTCTAAGTCCTTTTGGCTTCTGTCCTTCTTCAAACATGTCTTCACATAGTGGATTTTCAGTTGCACATTTGCCATCAGCCTAACTAGGAGCTAAAACTTCACTAACCTTTAACATTAATCAGAATTATGAGTTGTTGCTGCTCAATTATCTAGCTGCTGTTGTTGAAAAGTGAAAATCAGAAAATAGCCTGTTTTGTTCTGCACATTAAGCTGAAAGCCCTTCAGGCCAACCTAAACTGAGCTGCAGCTGGAAACAAATGTGTTGATACTGCTGAGCTCTCCCTGGCAATGCCATTGCCAGTGGAGGCTGCCTGTGTTGACAAGATAGCTGTAGCCTACACAACAGTGTCAGTGCAAGGATGGGGACTGTACAGAAACCTGAAGATACCTCTGCAGTAAAAGCTACTTTTTGTGCCATGGACTTAACCCAGGGCCCTATGGGGTCAGCAGAAAGGTTTCTTCAGGGATTGAAGTCAGATCTTGGTCACAGAGATGTGACTTTTTATTGTGTCTGGGTTACTTTGAAATGCTATGTTTCAGAGATGAGCTCAGTTGGTTGGAGCATGGGGCTAATAGAACCAAGGTTGTGAGTTTGATCCCATATGGGCCATTCACTAAAGAATTAGACTTGATGGTTGCTGTGGGTCCCAGATGGTTCTGTGAACTGACAGACATGAACCAGGTGCCAATGAAATCCCTAAATGTACAAGAGAGAGCTTTGCTGAGCACGGCAGTGCTGGCAGTGTCCTGCTGCAGGCTCCTCTGGGTGCAGCTCTGTGAAACAAGGCACTGCCATGACTGCAAGGGGAGCTGGTAATGGAATGGACCCTGCCTTAATCAGCCTTTAAAAAGGGAGAAGAAAGGTGTTGGGAAAGTCTGTCCCGAGAGTACTGAGTTTCTTAGTCTTTCATGTCTAGAAGGAATTTGCTGAGTCTGTGGCTTCACTCTTTACCCTCTGTGCCACAGCCCTGCAGGAAATTCACTGCTTGCAGACTGCTAAGAGAAACCTCTCTGCCATTAGATTAATTGATTTCAATTGCAAGTGTCTGTTATTGCCACACTGTTCAAACATAGGAAGGGGAGAGAGAAGAAAAGCACAACATAAATAGAAACTATTGATCTTAATTTCTATTTATTTTCATGTGCTTAGTGAAAAAGTACACCTATACTGAAAAACATGTAATCAGATGTTGCCTGTAGCAGATGGAAGTAAAAAGGTGTATTGATGTTATGCTAAGAAAGAATTTGGAGCATTTGACACTTGTTTTTTTAATGACTATTTTTGTTTACCCTTTAATTTTGTTTATCACTGAATTTTACCCCATTATTTATTTTCTTGCTTCCAAAGATTAGAAATAAAGCAGTATGTTAATTTCCCTTTTAAATTTTTAAGATAATATTTATCTTTGAATATGAAAACTGATAACCAGAGATACAAATTTCACCAGAAAAAAAAATAAATCCTTGAATTTTCTTAGCAAGTAGGAATAGTCTCAAATATGAGTACAGAATGTCATGCCAAAGGAATGACAGCTGAGGAGAGCTGTCACTGGTAGTTCTCAGATACCACATCTCCTTGCCTGGTACCCATGAGCTGGGTGGTGACTCCCCTGCCTGATGGGCCTCTTCAAAGTGTTGACAGAAATACGCAACTCTTTCAGACAGTGTCTGGCCAGTGGTCATGCCTTAATCAGAAAATGATGGGAGTGGATGTAGCTCTTCAGACTGGAAGTGAAATGACCCACAAAATAGTGTCAGCTTTCAGAATCCCATTGCTTCTGGTATTTTTTCTGAAGGAACACTACTTTCTGGACACTTGTAAGCATCAATTAATGACTAAGGTTATGACTCCTGGGTTCAGTTTAAATGCAGAATATAATTGCATGCAGAGTGCTTCCTATGGGTTTCCAGGCTTTTTATTGGTATGAGTGCTCCAAAGGTCATCAGACTGACATGATCCTGAGATGCAGTAGAAGAACCAGATAAGAAATATTTACAGTGCACATAATTTTTAATGAAATATTTAAAAGGAGAGAAATTACAACCTTTTACTAATAAAGTATATTTGCATGCATCTACATTTCTGATATATGGGAAACAATCTGTGTGTTGTGACTGTGTATGAATTTAGATACTGTTTTAAATTTTTTTGTTAAAAATCTTATAATTCAAATTCACAGGAAGATTACAGGTAATTTCTGTAGTTGACTTAGAACTATTCCAGTTTAAAAAATCTGGATATTTGCTATTTTCGGTTTGGAGAATATAGTTTGTGCTATATATTTACCTAATACAGAGTTCCCAGGACCACAAAATTGTCCTTTTGCCAAATGGTACGTGCACATACTCCATGAAGTGGCCTACAGCTTTGCAGAAAATAGGGCAAGCTCTGTAAACAGAGCATGTCAGGTAGTCTTTCACATTCTTTTTTATGCTACAAATAGACACATTTGTTCTGTGGTGGATGTTTTCCTGAGATTTCTGTGAAATCTCTAACAGCACTGCTTACTTGTCATTTCACCTACAGGTACATTTATGTTCCGATGGGAGGATCTCAGTCCAGTCTGCTTGGAACACTATTATCTACAGCCCTCACTTTTGCCTTCGTAAGCTACTGGCATGGAGGACAGAGTTATTTGTGGTACTGGGGTGCACTTAATTGGCTTGGAGTAGTTGTGGAAAACATCACCAAGAGGATACTTTCAACTTCACTTATTCAAGATTTAATTGTAAGTTGAATCTCTCCATTTCATATTTTTGCTTCCTGGCTCCATGCTCATCTGAAGTTTCTGGTTACTAGTTTGGTTTAACCAAGATTAAAAGTCGTGGATAACAGACAGAGTTAGCATTCCCTTGCCCACCCTCCAGTATCTGAGGTAATAACTAGTTCATACCACTAGAATTTTGCAAAGTAGCAGCAAAGCAGATGGTGAAATATGCACAGTCTTAAAAGCTTCCTCTGCAGTCCTAGAGTAAGCAAATGCTTGTCACGTTGTATGTAGATGAACAGAAGCCAGTTTTAACATTTGTATTCTGATTTCACTCAGGATGGCCTTAAAATACTCATCTTCACTAAAATTAGGAGTGTATATTTCTAACATGTGTTTCCTGGACAAATGTGTGTGTAGCAGCTGCTTGCATCTGGGAACAAGCTTACACCGTGAAATCTTATGCCACTAAAGAGCCAAGTAAAGAAAACATCATTTTGCCTTGAAATCCTCTGATATTTTCATTTTACTTATACTTTTGACCTTCATGCTGTAATTTCCAAAGGACAGAATTGACTTCGATGTGCAATTAGATGCAAAAACCACTATTTTAATTTTGATGGTCATTTTAATCTGCAGGTTTGCTGACTACTAAATCCCGAATCTTCTAATAACTGTCTGTAAGAGTAAATAATTAGCATGTCTTCCTTACTAGTGAAAATTTCACAGAATTTGTACTCTTATATATGGTTGTTTTGGTGGAGACTCACTCTGCAGCCTGATGAAGTCCTGATGCTCAAGGAATGATGTTTGCTGTCCATCCTACCCATTTCAGTTTTCATTTTTGTGGCATCCTGGATATGGCAGCTGATACGACTCACTAATTTGCTAACCAGTGCTACCTTATATCCTCCAATTGTCCATCACTGCAATCTCAGTGATAGTCTGGAAGCAGATTTTTACCTTCCTAGAGAATGAATTTATCAGATCCATTAATCTTCCCTCTAGGGTGAAACTGAGCTACACCATCTGACCAGCTGCATATGTTTGTCTCTGGACTGGAAGACAGCCTGGTTTTTTAGGCATCCAGCTATTGGAGGAAATAAAAGTGTAGGGCCTTGCTTTTTCTATCTGATGTCACTGTATTAGAAATTTTAATAAAACTCCTAGGGAATGAACTTCTTAAATATCATAGAAATTATAATGATAGTGACATTATAAGTGTGGGGTTATATATGTTGGATTAATTTCTAACACGTAGTTCTAATTATATTTAACTGATGCTGGCAATAGTATTTTTTGTATAAATTAAATCCCTAACCAAGTGCATTTTACCTCTTTCCTCCACCTTGTTTTCATCTGGTGTTTTTAAAGACCTATCCACTGTCTTTCATGTCTCCTTTGTTTCTCATTTCTATTTGGAAATATAGTAGTAGACCTTCTTTTCAAGACCCTTGCTTATCTTTTCCTGAAATAATTCTGAAGCCAGAATTTTTAATATATATTGTTTTGGCATCTACATTAGTGCATGAGGCAGATCTCACTGCAGTTATGGCTGAGTCATGATTTGCCTTGTGTCTTGAAGGTTTCTCTGCAAGAACATGAGCTACAAACCATTCATTATTGCTCTCTCCTCACTTTTCTAACTCCCATTTTCTTCTTGAATACTTATACTGGAGGGCAGATGAGTAGTTGGACTTTGCATTTTCCTTATCAAGGGTTGGAGTGTTATGAGATTCTCTTAGATGTACCACATTTAAAATAAACTGAAAATTTCCCAGTACCCTGGATAAATTTCCTCTTCCCCCTTTTAATCTGTTTTTTGGAAACATTCCTATAATCCTGTCTTGGTAAGGGGTTTGCTGCAAATCACTACTCACTGTGGTGTTGAAGACCCTTTTCCAGGGGATGGGTTTTTCACTTAAATTTCATCTGTTGACAAGCTGAAATCCTTTGCATTCTTGTGCTTCACTCAGTTGCTGTGTTGGCTCTTGAGGGCTATTTTTGAACAGGAAGGTCTATTTTTATCTTCAGAATAGCAGATGAGTTTTTGAAAAAATACAGAGCACAGGTTTATGCTTTTTTTAACCCATTCTGTTCACCAAACCTCCTCGTATATTATTTTTATAATTGAGGTACATAATTCAGTTGAGCAAGAGGTGCTTAATTAGTAGTGTATATATATATATATATATATACACACACGTATATATGTGGGGGGGGGTATAAGTTGAATTTTAATTCTACTCTGTTTTTAAGATTGAATTGATCACTAACAAGAATGGTACCAAAACTGCCTCCTGATTTTTTTCCTCACACTATATTGCCTCAATTCTCTTGCAAAGGGAAGATTAAAAATCAAAATAGAGCATATTCAGGTCTCATCTTTCCCTGAATCCTTGTACTGACTAAAAATATATATGTATATATTGCCTATATTTATGCAGATTTTATGGTATTTTCAGTCCCAACTCTTGAAACCAGCACAGTATGGGGAAATAGCACTTCTGTAGCTGTCTGACAGGTTTTAAATATTATCTCAGGCATACTGAGCTAGAATGAGCAAAGTAGTACAGTCATTATTTGTGAGAAGTAAAATCAGCATATAAACAAATATGTACTGAGAACAGTAAATTCCCTGATCCCCAAAAGAATGGGTCTGGAACTTTTAATTTGAACTGGTTTCAAAGCAGTGGCTGGCTTCCTGTAGTCAGCTCTAGAATAGCTGATGCTCTTTGTTGCATCCTTTTCAGCTTACACTCTTCTGAACTTCAGTGTTTCAGTAAGCTGTGTGAGGAGAAGTTATCTCCATGACTTTTTCCCTGTATTGATTACTTGTTAGTTCTCAGTAAATTAGAACTGAATCAATTAATATTGTCTTTTCAGCAAAGTGTTATGTATAAAGCGACAATAAATGCTAGGTTTCCTAAGATAGGGCAGATCTGGGAACTTTCTATTAAATGGGAGAAGTTTCATTGTGTTTTTTTGTCAGATCTCTTTTTTTCTTACTATTTTTCAGGTGATATTTAGATCTGTACTGAGCAAAGTAGTGCTTTGCTTCACTGTTTCTATATTAATTTCTCACAGATGAGATGAACAGACTCGAGTAGTAACTCATTTGAAATGAATGATGGAATTTGTATTGACTTTTAATAAATAATGTGTACCATTTATGAAAAAAAATGCTAATGGCTAACATTCTCCCAGTAATTTAAAGTTTTTCCTTCTCTTTCCTTAAGGGAAATGATCTATAGAAAAACAGATCTATAAAAAAAATTAGATCCTGATATAAAAATAGATTTAGAATGAGTTAAACCTTAGAGTAGCTGGCAACACCTTTACATCAATGGATTTTTAAAAAAGAAATATTTGGAAATTATCCAAAGGGAAGATGTAGCAAAGGGAGTGAAGCTGGCAGATTGATAACATTAATGTTTTAAACTAAATTGAAACAGCAACATTTATCTTTTTAGTTCTTTAGTTAAGTGAAAACATGTCATTCAGTCTCGTAAGAATTTTTTACTTTCAACATAAGGATCTCTCTTCTCAAAATCATACTGTGATGAATTTCTGGTTTAAGATCTTAATTTTAGATTTATTTGGTAAGACACTAAATATGCCATAAACGATTTATTTTGGGAAACCAGCTAATTTTAAATGTATGCCATATTTGAAATTTTTACTATCCTTGTAAGTGTTTTTGGTTTTTTTTTAAAGTATAGAATACTTTGATTTTTACATTTTCATTTATGTCTGCAATGAGGTGCACTAATTAAGTCCATTTCAATGTGCTGTCATTTCCTACCCAGCCCCTTTTTGCAAAAGGGGAAGTATTTTATATGATCTCCATATTTTTCTTAGTGGTTTAGATTAGACTTCATTAGTGTTTTAGATTATTCTTTTCCCTAGAGGAATGAACTCCATACATTTGTCTCTGTAGTTAAAAGATCACATTATTTTGTGCACCAAAGATGTGATCAATGACAACTGGTATCCTCAGCTTTCCAGAGAGAAAAATTTTAGATGATTTTCATAGTTTGGGTGGGGTGAGGTTTTTTTGGTCTGTATTTTTCCCTCTGCCTCATTTTGTTTGCCCTATTTGTTCTGCTAGACGCATTAAAAATTCTACAGTTATTTGTAATAAGTTATGCATTGTACAGTGATCCTGCAGACAGCTGGTGTGGAGCATGGAAAGGTTCTGACTGGTTAGCCTGACCTCTGGGCTCTGGTCCCACAGGGAATTAATCTGAACTGAAAGCTCATTGCTGTTGAAGGGGGAAAAGTTTAATTTCTCTTTCCGCCCTTCCTTGCAGTCTCACCACTTCCTCCTCCTTATGCCTTCCTGCTGGAATCTTTGCTCAGCTGATCTAGCTCTTTATCTCAGCAGAAAGCTCTGCTTCCTTGGGTTATTTTATTGCTAGATTCTTTGACTCATGGAAAGCATCCAAAGAACAGTGTAAGAGACAAAAGCTAAGGAAAGGAAATGGAATAGGAGGAGTTTGACTACTTGGAACCTCCCACTTGCAAATGTGCCTGAACAGTGTGGGTTAGCAGACTGAACCTCTGTATTTAGGAGCAGTGAGACAAAGAAGCCAATTGGACTCTGCTGCATTCATTACTCAGGCTATGCTAGGGCACACATTCAGCCTAACAAAGATGGAAGTGCCTGTGTATTTCACAACCATATACAAATACAACGTGTTTTCAACGTATATGCCCATATACGTTGAAAAATGAGTATTTCCTTTAAATGTCAGAATTTCCTTTTGCAGGTATAACTCACTTTAAGCTACTGTGAGGCAAGTAATGGTTCCTTCTTCACTAGAGACAAGATCTGACTAAACATTATGAAGTCATTTGAGGGAGGTATGTTTGTTGACCACCTTGCAAGATTAAATCTTTAATAAGATCTCTGCGATAAATAAAGACCCTGACAGCTGTTCTTCAGCACACACTGGTCTTTGATCTTCCTCTTGCTTCATTTGGTGGAAAAAGTATTTATATCACTTGTTTACTGTTGT